TCACAAACACGCCCTGCAGTCAATCTGGGGGTGGCATTTCCAACTGAAGTCCCTCTTCCCAGATGTCTGCAGCTCGCATCAAGCAGACACACACCAGTCAGCACACTAGCTGTGTCACACAGGATACTTGTGACCTCTTAAGTGCTAGGTTACAGGTCTGATCCACCAGCATGCTCTTTGGTTTGTATGTCTGTTTACTAATTTATGCAAGTAGGTCTTGCTATGTGGCTTGGGCTTGAACTCATATTTTGTAGGCAGGCTCTGCTTCCTGACTGACAACACAACCTCCTCAGGGGTCTTCCATTCCTGCCACCATGTCTTCTCTGCCAGGATGGCATACTTCCTCTCCAACTATTACAGGCCACTTGCTTCCCACACCCGGGGACTTCCCAATCTCCAAGTAATGTCACAGTTCAGTTTTGACTCCTAAATATCTACCCCCTCTACTCTCCAGAACACATCTTGAGGGGCCAAGAGATGGCTCAGTAGGGAGGTCAAGGCGCTTGTCACCAAGTCTGAGGACATGAGTTCAATCACAGGACACACAAGGTAGAAGCAAAGAAATGACTCTGCCCCCACAGGCCTCCCCTCACACAAATAAACGTAAGTTAGCATGCACTTCATGGCTTTTCTGCCTCCCAACACTAGGAGCCTCCTACAGATGGGCAGCCAAGCAAGATCCCCTAGCTACTCTAAAGCAGCTGCAGGAAGCATTTACTCCTTGTCAGTGGCCAGATCTGGAGAGCTGATCTGGAGGTAAATAGTGGAGAGAGTTTACAAAAGAAAAAAGTATCAGGCACGGAGGCACAAATCTTGAATCCCAATACCTGGGAGACAGAGGCAGAAGGGCAAAAAGATCTCTGAGTTGGATACCAGCATGGTTTACACAAAGAGTTCTAGTCCAGCCAGGCCTTGGTAGGTTAAGTAAGAACTCTCCTACACACAAGATGAGAACCACGGTTCAAATCTCCAGTACTTGCATAAGCACCAGGTATGGCTGCTCATGCCCATCACTCTAACACTGCAGAGACAGTGGGTCCTGTGAGCTGGCTGGTCAGCTACTCCAGCTAAGACGGTGAGCTTCCAGATCAGATGCTCCGTTTTGGCCTTTGCAAATGCAAACGCTGCATACTTCACGCAAAGTGCACACATTAAGTGTCGTGGATGTAATTCAGTTGGTAAGAATGCTTGCCTAGAATGCCCTGGGTTTGATTCCCAGCACCAGATAAAACCCACACATGATGACTTATTCCTGAAACCCCAGCACTTGGGGAGACAAAGACAGTTTAAGATCATCCTCAGCTACAGCTCAAGCCCAGCTGGGACATGAGACTTTGTCTCCAAAAGCAAAAAACCAGAATAGGTAACATAAGCAGACTCAGGACCAGTTCCTACCCCTCCCAAAACTCCACATCCCACTATCCAACCCCTGCTAGGGCAGCAGGAGCAACACATCCGAAGCAATCATCTAACTCCATTTCCTCCCCTTGCCACATTTTTCCGTGGGTCTCCAGCGCCCCCTAGAGGACGTCCAAGTACAGAGTCTGACATTCCTGGTCCTATACCTGGTTCCCAGCATCCAGGTCATCATCACTGGGTCTTGATTTATCTGACCCCCTCTTCAATCACCCAACCCAGGACCAAACAAAGAACAAGTACACTAGGGATGCTGCTGCAGGAGGGAATCACCTGTCCTAACACCACCTCCGAGCCTGTCACTTGTCCATTATTCCCTCAGTGGAAGAATGACCAAAGAAACCTTACCTCTGTGGGACTCAGCTGCTTCGTCCCCACGTACGTAACCCCAAAGTGGTAATTGGACTCCCCAATTGTGCCGAGGGCTACTGTGTGGGTCACCTGGGGGAAGAGAGTGAGCTATGTATGGGGTCTTGGCAAAGCTGGCTTATCCAAAGACAGAGTTTTGGGGCTGGGCAGGGAGTGAACACTGGGTGGCAAACCATCCAACCCAGCAGCTGAACAAAACAAACACCAGGCTTGGCTGGATAAGATTAAGAGGCACCTAGGGAGAAAAGTGGGGCTAGAGTGGGGTACACACCTGTCGTGGCACCCCGGCTTGAGGCTGCAGGGTAAGAGGCACCTTTGAATTTTGGGCCCCTAAATCCAAACCTTCCCACTCCCCCTAGAGTAGCCATCCTGGAATGTGTGAGACTCTTATTGCTCATTTTCCTTTTATGTTTGATACAGGGTCTTGCTATGCATCCCAAGGCTGGCCTGGGACATAGGGTCTTGCCAGCTTCAGCCCCTGCCAGTGCTGAGATCAGAAGCGTAAGCCACTAGAGCGCAATCTACTTGTCACCTACCAAAAAACCCAGGCCTTTAGGAGCATGAGGGGAGCTGTATGCATGGAGGGTCATGGCACCACAGACTCACCTGGAAGCGGTTACTCAACCCTTTGTTGACTGTAAGTTTGACACCCTCCATCTGCACTGGAAACAGCTCTGTAGAAGAGAGATGCTGTTACACTCCAAATTCCTCCTGCTCTGCTCCCAGCCCCAGCTCTCTCCGGAGACCCACGTCTCACAGAACATCCCACCACTAAAGGAAACTGCCCAGTGAATGGTGCGGGGCCCTCTGGTTGTTTCTAAAACCCAGTGCAATCACCTGGATTTAGGAAACTCACTTTCTGGCCAAACTTCTCATCCAAACAACGAGGATCCTCACCATACAGAACTGTTCCAAGTATTTTATAAGTTAACACGTATTTTGGCATCAAAGATAGAAGTGTATCTCTCTTACGATCAAAATGATTCTAGGCCAGGATCCAGATCCCTTGGGTTGCACCCCTTACAGGAACATTGGGGCACACCTTGCTGACACTGTGACCTTGGGCCATAATTCCTTTTCTGATCACACACACTAATGAGTCTGGCGGTGTTGATCCCGGGGCTCGCAGTGTCCAAGATTTCTCTCTCCTGCTGTGGCATTCTTCCCCAGGGGCTTCTCCATCTGATCGCAGTTCCGAGCTCCAAGTCCAAGGTCCCACCGTCCCATCCCATCCACAACTCCTAACATTCTGTTCAATGACTGCAACGGTGCGCGCCAATCCTCCGGGGTCCTTCCCCTTTCCCTCAGGTAAGTTGGGCCCGGCATCCCTCACCTTTGCACTTCCGGTGGCATTCCTCGAACGTGCCCGGGTTGGGCAGGCAGCCGCAGCCCCCATCGTCCGAGGCCCCAGCAGCGCCGCCGGTCGCAGCCCCGGGAGTCCGTTCCGAGCCGCGGCCCGCGCTCGACCCTGTGCCCAGGCCACCCCCGAGCGGCGGCAGCGTAAAGCCGGGCGGCGAAGGCGGCGGCGGCGGTAGCCCCACGAGGGACGGCGTAGGAGGCGGCGGTGGCCCTGCGGGCGGAGAGCTAGCGGCCAACACGTTCCCCATGGTATCTGCGAGGGGAAGGGTCAGAGGGCAGAGGTCAGGGGCCACACACACTCCCGGATGCGACCTCAGCCACCTCCCACCCAACTCGGACCCGGTTCTCACTGGCGGCGGCGGCAGCGGCGCCTGTTCCCGGCCTGGGCTCCGCTCCTACCCCGTGCGCTCCGCGCAACCGAACCCACTGCCGCCGCCGCGGCTGTCTCCCCGCCCCATGGAGCCCATTGGTTAATTTTTCTCCAAAATCCGTCCATCACGCGCAAAGCGGGACTTTTTATTGGAGTTCTGGAAGGAAGTACCACCCACCTCGCTGAAACACCCATTTCTATTGGTTTTCAATGTCAATCGGTCAGTGCCGCTTCTTCGCCTTTCCCATTGGCTGGCATAGCCCATGCCCATTGGTTCACGACCCCGCGGGTCTGGAACTGTCTCTCCATTTGTCGATGTCGCTCGCTTCGCAACGCCCATTTGCTCATTGCCCCACCATCCTCCTAAAGGAGCAGAGCTCCGCCCCAGAAAACGCCGTAACCATTGGGCAGTTTTGGCTCATCTCGCACTCTGATTGGCTACGGTATGTCTAGTGGGCCGACTTCAGTGACGTTTCATTAGTTATCTCATTGGCTCAGGTGCCGGGGTCAAAGGACGTGGGCCGAGGTGCGTTGCACCGTAGACGCTGCTAGGCAGCAAGGTCAGGTCCGGTGCCCCACCAGGCACTGCGGTGCAGGGGCTGGGTCGCCGACTGCAAAGCCGGAAGTGCGACCCCTTCCCACAGTGCCTCGGGAAAGCCTCAAGCAGTCCTGTGAAGAGTGACCCGCGTTGACTTACCCACAATGCCCGCCTTCCCCTGACCACAGCTGCCTCGGAGCCCACCCCTTGTGTTACCCAGCATGCCGGCCGCTCCCGCGTCACCGCAGCTTCTATCTTTGGCCCATTCATTCCTTTTCCATTACCCAGCATTCATTCTCTCATTCATTGCGCTTCATTTCCTCTACTCTGTTTTGCCCATTTCTGCCCGTTCACTTTCACCATCCTTCCGGCCTTTCTCTAATTATCTGTCTTGTCTTGGAATCTTTTACCTCCTGGCTATTTATCCATTACACCCACATTCCTTGTTTCTTCTTATCTCTTTGCCTCTGGCTCATTCATTTAGATAAATTACCCATCACGCTTTGGGGGCTTTTTGAAAATATTTTCCCCAGGACTTATTTTTTAATGACATCCCCCCCCCCAACTCTCTAGTATTTCCAAGCTGACCTCAGCGTCTCAAGTACCCTTAGCCTATTAACTGCCATTGACTTACTAAACCTAAGCCCCTCTTGGCTGGTTACTGGTGTGCTTATCTGTTTCCATTACTTTGAACTGTCAATCGTTAGGCAGCTGTTTTAGCCAGTCCTTTCAATACAGTCTGCACGTCTGACGCCTCTTGCATCCCTGTCATTTTGTTTTAGTTGATGCGGTTTTACTTATTACTATTATCAATTTCTGGGATATCTTTGGTCTTTGCGGAGGGGACCAATTTTGTATTGACTTATAGCTCTCTGATTCCTTCAATCCCCAGCTCTTACTCATTTCCCTCAGGTCCTATCCCACTATAAACTCACAGAAAACACAAGACTTTATCAAAGTATAAATTCATATTTTGTAGGAAATGCTTACAAAATAATATTGCCCAAACTCCCAGCCCAGATGCCCAGATGCCCCATCTCATACACATGCCAACCCCCTAAAGAGGGATGTGTAATCCCCTTCCATTAGATAGAGGACAAAAGGATTCAGTAGTCTTCAAGATGAGAGCAAATCTCTCAAACCTGGGGTGGCAAGGCACACTTGCATTAGGCTCTCTCCTCCAGCTCTGGAGACAGGAACTGGGGTACCGGGTGATGAGAAGAGGGTATGAACCCTGAGATTCCTGCCTGCAGGAGTGGGTGGAGATGGGGAGGTCCTAGCTTACACAGGGGAGTCTTCTCCTTTTCACCTTTGGGAAGGAGGGTGGGGAGGGCTCAGGTGAGCTTCTGCTGCCTGGAGGGCTCAGGTCTGAGCAGCAGGGGGCCCCTGATCCCCTTCTTGCAGACCTGTGGGGACTCTATTGCCTGAGGGCAAGTCCAAGGTCCCAAGTCTTCTTTAGGGGTAGGTGAGATCTAGGTGGGCAGTGAGTGGCAAGGTCAGACGGTCACAGTCTTAGGATTCCTTGAGGGGGTCAGAGGTGGTGCAGAAGGACTCTCTGAGCTCCCTGCCACGGGAGATAAAATTCCCGGGTTTCCAGCCACACAGGTCTGTCTGGGTCAGAATCATAAGCTGGAGGTCACAGTGGAGCTACTAAGAAGTCACAGGTGGATTGCAGGGATGATAGCTGACCCTGGCTTGTCTGGAAGTCAGAGTGTCCTAGATCACTGGTGGGAAGCTGGGGGGGAGGGGGGTCAAGGGTGAAAGGTGAGAGATCAGAGGCCCTGTGCCTCACACATACATGGCCCGTGACACAAAAAAGTCTTTGCCTTGGTAGGAATCAGAGGGGCTGGGGTAGGACAGGGCATCATAAATAGGATTAATTTTATCCAGGAAGTCTTCTTCCTCCTCATCTTCCTCCTCGTCTTCAAGATCCAGGGAAACCCCCTCCACAGTAGAGGGTACTGGAGGTACCAGAAGAGAAGGTCCCAGGCCTGTGGCTCCCAAAAGCAGGGGCCCTGACCGCTCTTCCAGGGTGGGCAGCTCGTGATACCGAGGCGTATCCTACAAGTGGTGAGCAAGCAGGAATTCAAGGTCACCTCAGTCTCAGGATGGCATTCCCTGATCTGCCCCTTAGTCCAAGATTCCTGACCATCCTTTGCTAAAAAGACTCAACCACCCCACTGTCGTCCTTTCTCCCTGGACGGAACTGCTCAGTATGGCCATCCTGCCCAGCACTGGCTTCCTCACCCTGCCATTCCTCTTCCTTGATCCCTGAACCCAAATCCTTACATTTGACCTCTTCTGTGGTATGTTTGCTTGTTTCTTTCTTCTAGGCTGGCCTTGAACTCGTAGTGTTGGGATAAGTGTGCACTCTTGTGAGCTGCTTGATTTTTGTATTTTCAAACACATACACCATGCAGCATAGGATGGGCTCAAACAGTGTAATCCTGCCTCAGACTCCCAAGTACTGAGACTACACCAGGCTTGACAGTCTATTATTTTGGTTATTGAAAACAATTTTCGTGCACACGCGTGTGTGTGTGTCTATGTGTGTGTGTGTGTGTGTGTGTGTATACACAAAGGCCTGAAGAGGGTATCTGACCCTCAAAGCTGGAGTCCCAGGCAGTTGGCAATGGCCTAGTATGTGACACAGACCCTCCCTCAGTCTCCAGCTGTGGTCCTCACACACAGCAAGTGCAAAACTGCTGAGTCATCAGTCCTGCTAGTCTCCTTGGCTATTTTGAAACAAAGTCTCACTCAGCCTTGAACTATGTAGCCCAGGTTGGTTGAACCCACTGTGATTCGAATTCTTGCAATCCTCCTGCCTCAGCTCCCCAAGGGTTGAGATTACAGGCAGGAGCTACCAAGCTCTGGCCTCAATCTTTATTTAACCCTGAGTGCCAATCAGGGCTTTAACCCTCAAGCAGCTTTGACCTCTTTACTCAACTCCTGACCAGACCTCAGAGAAATGTTTCTATCATAGAGGAGACCCCAGGGGAATGTTGTCTCCATCATAGAGGGGACCCTAGGGGGATGTCTCCATGATAGTACCTCTGCTGCAGGCACAGATCCTGGGCAACTCAGAAGCCCTAAGTCACTCTACTCTACTCAGCCTTGACCCCCTGACTCTTAACCCAGCCCTAAACCCACCGTAGTTTACCCAGGAACTCCCACCTGATCAGCACAAGAGACACCAGCATCGAAGTAGGGCGTCTTCACTGAGCTGTGCTCTGAGGCCCCCAGAGTGAAGAGTTGGGAGGGCTGTGGCATGACATAAGAGTAAGAAGTCAGGACCCCTCATGGTGGCCCTTCCCAGACAGCCCTGTCCCAGCCCAACAGCCCCCTCCCACTCGACCCCAGGGAGGAAGAGTGGGAAGGGAAGTAGGGTAGCTGGGGCTCTAGAGGAACATCTCACCATTTCTGGTTCTTCCAGCTTGGCCTTGGGGGTTGGTGGTTTATAGGAGGGAGGTTCTTCCAGTCTGCAGGGGTCAAGGGTAGGAGTCAGATCAAAGGATGCTACCCCCCCCCCATCCCCAGTTTATTCTTTTACAGGAAATCTGGCCAGGTATCAAAATGCTGTTTTTTTTTTTTTTTTTTTTTTTTTTTTTTTTTTTTT